TCCCCTAATTATCCCATATTTAACTTTGTATCCCATAAATGTTGAAAGAACATGGAAGTTGAGCTCTGATGTGAACAGTTTGACACAACAAGATCAGAAATGATTGCTGTCTTATTTCATGCACTCAAAGGTGATATATGCTGTACCACTAGAGTTAAGTTTTTGTTTCAATCATACAAGATCATGCAACTACTACTCATCATTAAGGGTACTCAAAGTTGAAAGGTAGATTCTGCCTTTTTCAAAACCTAGAATACTAGTTTTTTTTGGCGGGGAAAAAAACTGATATGAAGCCCTCACTTTGAGGCCCCCGTGCTTATAATTCTCATCTGTCATTGACTTCACTTCAAAAACCCCTTTTCATATTCATATGTTCACCTTCAACTCAAGATGATAGCAACTGCTGCAGCCATCTATCCTCTTGGTTCTGTCCCTCAGTCATGCCTTCACAACTCAAGATGTGATTCAGTATAATTTGGATTGTCAAATAGGTCCTTTTATCATTGTACCTCAGAGATCATGGGTCCGAGTAGATCAAGTTATTTAAATACCTTTTGAATTTGAAATACAACCTCAATAGTTTTGTTAATATCAGTCACCAGTGATATCAGTTGGTCAAAAAGTGAAACTGTGTGTCATCTGATTTGAATCGATTGAATTTGATTTGATTGATTCAAATCAGTGGGTTCACTCATTTAATAAGTTGATTCCATTCAATTGGTGAGTGAATAATCGGTCGATTCACTCACCGGTTTATTCCTTTTCATCATTCTGTGAGGTTGAAGTGTGTTTCGGTGCTGGAGAACCCAAATCTCACTTTTCCCGGCAGTGCCTAGTTTTTGTATCTAGGTTTTCAAAAAAGGTAGAATCTACCTTTCAACTTTGAGTACCATCATTGTTTGTTTAGAGTTGTGCTTTCTTCTGGCCACATATCTGGACCAAGGCTTCTTTTACCCCTTGGATATCTGCTGGCCAATTCATCTCTTGCAACATCTCCCATACCTTCTGTGGTAGCCAGGCACAATGGGGTTGAGGTTTGGTGATATTCATTTATGGGATACAAAATAGACACCTGGAACTCATCCAAGTTGGAAAACTGGGCACAAACCCGGGTTTCTACTTTGTATTGTACAATTACATTGGTTAGGAAACACATAGTGAATGTGCAACATTTCTCAATGACTCAGTATCAGTCTATAAATAGCCACAGTTTCTTGATACATGCAAAACCTCTGTTTTTCAATCTTGGTATGAGTGCACAATAAGAAGTTTGGTGTGGGTCTTCAGGGGATGAATCTGGTTTCCTTTGGTTTCCTCCGGGGTACAATCATTTCATTACATGTTGGACATCAAGACAAAATGATCAAGTTTTTTACTACCTTAAAGAAGATTAAGGGCCCGTTTGGCTGGAACCCAAAAACTGTTTTTGGGTCAAAACAGTTTTTGGTTTTCATCAAAAACACCGGTGTTCATTAACTTCATTTGATCAAAAAGTCTTCAATTATCAAAAACAGCCCTGAGGCTGTTTCTTAAACCAACAAGAGTTTTTGCCCCCATTTGCCCCTCTATTTCAATCTTCTGATAAGCGCTTTGGCTGAGTGTTTGGTGATTGTATAACTAAATTTCAACTTTTACATTCCGCCCCATGAAAAAGGGGCAGATTGAAAAAGCATTTTTGTGTAACACTTTTTGGCTAAACCAGCCAAATGGTCCCTAAACTTCAAAAGTTACCACTGAGAACCCAAGGATAGTGTTTGCTGTGTTTAGATTTAGTTAGAGATCAAAGATTGAACTTTTTCATTTTTTCTCGATTTTCAACACATATAAGCAGAATTCATACACTCGTGACATCTAGGTTAAATTTCACAGATTTTGGAGTCTGCGAAATTCATAAGTGTTAGACCCCCACATCGACAGAATCTCAAAAATTCATACCTCAATTCACACGCAACTGGGGTCTGGCGGAGTGTTCCGGGATCCTTTCTGGTCCTTTAGAACCTACATATGCTTACAAAGTTTTCCACTTCTCCATGAACCACCAGACACCAGGGAGAGAATTTAGTCACATTTTGATATGTGAGAGATGCGTTGATCAGAGTCACGCAGTGCACAGTGCGCACACACAGCCGCAGTGACTCTGCGGTCGTGTGTGCACCCTGACACTGATCAACATATCCCAGTGGCAGCATACACTACGGTCCAAACTTTAAGGGCAAATATGTCTTCAAAACACCTCCAGTAATGACATTTGAGAAACATGGGACTTACTTAGCAGTGACAAATCTGTTTTGTAATCATGATGTGGATTTTGTGTTTTTGTAGAAAATATGTAAGGCTGATGTATTTCTTATCATAATTTGAAAACATATATTCTTGAGGTATCTCAATACCTCACCAGAACATAAACTGCCCCAACGGATTGAAAAGCCTGCACCAAGACCTGAGGCTTGACTTTGAAAAACCAAGTGATGAAAACCTTTGCTGAATTCGCATCACTAACCTTTCAGCAAAGTCATAGCTTGCTTTTCACATCTGTTCACTCTTTGACTCCTTTTTCTTTCTATACGACTTCAGGTAAGACCTCTCTTTCTCTTCATCACCATTCTCCACATATTCAGACCTGTGTTAAGTCGATGAAGTCATGAAATATTGGATGCTGACATGTCCCCCATTTCGCATTTCCCATCTCGCTCAATCATTTCCATCGCTCTCGTTTGCAGCGTTTGGTTTGCTTTTGGTCAATAAACCTTGTCTCCTGCTTCAGCTCGACCTCATACATAGAAGTTCTAAGTATCACTTCAATTTTTGATTTTTTAGTCACCTAGAATCGGATCAATCGATCAATCGCGTCGCAATTGCTAGCGAATCAAGCTTCCATTCATTGATACCCTTTCAGTCTGCCTCCTTTATATACACCGATCCATAAAAAGCTGTGGTTCATTTCTTGTCTCGTTTGTGATCTCCACAAGTTGTATGTACACTCACTTCCCTTGCATGCAAAGATGTAATGCATCCTCATCACCATCTCACCTTGATGAGTTCTTGAGCCCAAACTCGTGACGAGCCCAGTTCCCCAACGTGCAGGCGGGTGCAGTAACCAATTTTTCAAAAAAATAACCCCATCGGATCGACTCCTTTTTGAACTGAGTGTATGTTCAGTCAAGGTTTTATAATGTAAGAAAAACATTTCCACAACGATTCCCTGATGTACAACATACATATTTGAAACTTAATCATGTATGTTTACGTTACATTTTTACTGGGGATGTTTTCAACATATGACACTGCAGGAATCATTAAGTGTGAAACCGGATTGAGCAAAGTCGCGATGTCCGGGTCCGCGACTTTCTTCAATTGCGGATCTTGTTTGCCATAGGTTTGCTATAGGTTTGCTAGCTTGCATCGAGCTGCCCTTGAGTTGTCCGCCTGAGCTGCAGTACATGTTATGCATGTAATTCCTTTCAATATCCTCAGACCACTCAAGATCATGTATGAGTCATGAGCTTTATCATGTATATGTTACAAGAGTCTAGACATATGGTACCTCCATTAGTCCATACTACAGCCTGAGTGGATGACTATGTAGAGGGCAGCTCGAGACAAGCTTGCAAACCTATGGCAAACCCATGGCAAACAAGATCCGTGATTGAAGGAAGTCGCGGACCCGGACACCGCAACTTTGCTCAATCTGGTTTCACACTTAATGATTCCCGCGGTGTGAGGACAACATGCTGGAAACAGGTGATGGAAAACATGTCACGATTACAAATCTTTTGATCCGTAGTGTATCCCTCACACGTCGATGTGACTGTACATTTTCTCCCCGGTGAGATTCCACCACCTCCACCACCCCTCACGTGAACCCTCGTGAACCACCCCCGTTTAGAATCTCATGCTATTTAAGCTTAATGCTAGTTCATGTTGTCACAAGAGGACCCAGGCATGCACTACATGAACATAGTCCCCAAAATTGGCCCAAAAAAAGCCAAATTCCGACGTGCTCCAGGCCGGATTCCAACCGATTTGGGGAGTCTCATATGTATACTAAAAAAAAAATCCGACCAAATTTGTGACTATCATTTCTTTCTATACCAGCAGGTCACAAACAGATGTATTATGTATCTACAATTTATATACAATCTATTTTTTCTTGCTACGTTGACTAGCAAGGTTACAATTAAAGGTTTTGATATAATCTGAAGATGCCATTGCATCTACCATCTGACTTATACTTTCTGGCAACGAAACCATCCCCGAGCGCGGCTCATCTAAGTTGGAACCTCTTGTTTCAGGGAAAAGATAGTGAATTTTTGAAGCTTCGAGATGAGCAAACATGTACTCGTGAGGCTTTCCAGAAACATATGACATAGCAATGGGCATGTCTGGTTGGTGCGAGTAAAGTTGGGCTGAGATGTAGGAGAGCTTGTCTCGCTTCGTAGCACTTGCGACCCATCAATGTTTATCATTGATATATTCATAGACTGCCAAAACTTCACCAATGTAAAGTTTCTGAACCAAACATGTTAATGTTATATCATTTGAAAATTGATCGACATAAACTCACATTGTTACATATTGCCAGGAAGAATTTCATTGGCTTGATGGGATTTGTGACAGAGATCACACCATTTCCAACCAACCAGCTCATATCGCGACTGGTTGTAGTATTCCTTTGAACATCAGCCAAGCTCAGCTTGACATGAATGTTCCAGCGATGCATGCGGGAAATTGACGAATCAGTTGCTGTGTTGGAATCTTTGACTAGCACAGCAACAAGCTTGCTACACTCGCTTGGCGATAAGGTATCAGTGCTGGATACAGACCCAATGACATCGTTCAAATGCTTTCTCTTTCGTTCGTTTCCGTGTTTCTTTTTTACTTCACTATCATGCTTTTGACGAATCTCGACAATGGACGAGATGTTTAAAGCAGTTCCAGCGCTGTTGGTGAGTCTACACAATGCGTCAGTCGCTCGCTTATCAGCTTCTTTGTGAGTTTGCTCATCGGGCACTACAAGTAAAAGATGGCCAGTAATCAGTGAATGGTATGGTATTGGGTGAAGAGGAATTGAACATACATGGGGTGTTCAAAAGATCGGACAAAGTGAGGCGTGCTCGATTGAGATGAGTTTCCACCACCGCATTCTCGTCGATCTCAGTGAGTTGCACATCCAATTTTTGTCGCTCCCCCATCATTGCGGCTGCAGTCTCAAAAACTTCGCTTTCGTCGGTCTCGGACGGGTCAAAACGATACACTACTTCAATGTCCCTTGAACGACTTTCAGAAATGTCTGAGATGCACAGAAAGATGTCAGCTGTGATGGGAAGAACACGAACCACAGATAGTACACTCAGAAATACCTTCAGTTTGAGATGGGTCGGGTTGTGTGTCATTGTCGAAAATTTCCAAGTCGGTGGGAAGATCAACTGAGTCATCTATGGCATCAGTTGGTACATCCATACCACAAAGACGTGCGAGGTGGGTTGCTCGCTGTTCAGCAACTGAAAGGTCTTCGCGTAACTCGTGGTCTGAAGGAAAGTAACCAAGATCGCCAGTGGGTTTGTCACCCTCGTCTTCAAAACAGTGCTTGTATCCCGCGTGTATATGTTCAGAACTAGGAACTTTGAATGTCCCGGTCATGATTCCCTTGATGATCGCAAAGAGCTTGGGCACAAGCTGACGGGCATCCAAAACTGTGAAATTGGGTGAAATGATACGTAGCCAACCGAAGAGGTGTTCACACATCTCAGTGCCATGTTTCCATGGGAGGAGCGGGAATTCGGGATAGTATTCTCGGTGTGATATTATAAGTGCTATCAGTGATTCGGCAAGCTGGGTGAAAATTTTCAAACTCTGAGGCGAAATTCCGTTCTTTTCGGGGGACATCATTGAGCCAGTCTCCTGCTTTCGCTTTTGAAGATAGCTGTTCCATTTACGAAGAAAGAATGCCGCAGTCCATGCTGATCTAACACGTTCACTGTGTCCCATGTGACGATTTAACCAGGCATCACATAGCTCGCCGCACACAAAAAGATAAACTGCAAGACCAGTTCCATCAGAAAGGTTCGAGGCAGCTTTGACTGTTTCGGAAGAAAACGTCCGATATGCCCGTCCGTCGTCTTGCTTATCCGAGTTGTGTACATCGTGTTGGTAAAGTGGCGAGTTTTCAGATGTCAGAATTTCAGTCAGTTGACCAATTCCAAAGTAGAATCGACCAAATGCAAGACATCAAGCACCTGACAAGATCTGGTTGGCTGCAGTTTTTCGAGCATGCTTGGGATCTTGAACAGCCACAATTGGTCTAGGTGGCTGACCAATCAAGGGCACGTGAATCTTGACTCCTAGGCCAACAAAAGAAAACGAGAGTGTTTCATTTGCTAGATTTGCAAGCATCGCTTGGGCCGACAATTCGTTGGCTGCGCCATCTGAGCCAATTGAGAGAATATTAAGACCGGCCTTCTGGGCCAGTGAGATGGCTGTGTCATGTAAAGTCAGGATATCTTCACTCTTCTCATTGTTATAGCTTGCCAGCATTGCCACTACAAAGGTTGGTACGTTTGGGAGTGGAACCTGGATGGTGTATGCTCGTACCTGTTCAATATTTGAGAACCATTGAGATCAAAAAGGGACAAAGGGACTATCAATAAGAGATTTGTACGTACCTTGGTGCATAAAGAATCATTTTCCAATATTGATTTGACTTTGGCTTGTAAGTCCTTGGCACCGCTGAACGCAACATCACCCCCTTGAGCTCCTACTATACAGCCATTATAGACGCGGAGAGTCTTTACACATACTGTCTGATCGGACCCCAATGCAAGTGGACCATTGTAGCCCAGCTTTTTGATCTGTTCAGAGATGCGTACAAAGTTTGAGAGGTTGAGCCCATCGGCCAACTGCATTCCACTTAATCGCCGTGTTTCCCGCAAGCTTCGAGCATCTCGTGAGTGTAGATTTGCTCGTACGAAACGACCAGCGGCGGGGCTGATTGCCCATAGAGTCATTGTAAAGTCGTCCCATGGTTGTTGAACCCTCAATCCGCGAAGTGATTTTCCGTCCTTTTCGCGTGTGGCTCGTGATGCAACTGCTTTAACAAGTCCTTCAAAAACATCCATGTTCTTGAACAATCCAGCTGAACCGTGGGTACCCAGAGTTGACCAGAATCGTGGATCGCCTGAGTTTGAGAGAGTTTCTAAGGATAGATTGAGGTCGCGTAACTCTTTGTACTGTTGCATCCAAGGATCAAAGCCAGTACTTTGCATCAAGGTGTCTCGTATGTGCTTCACGGCATTGCCTTCGGCATACTTTCTACTGACTGCTTTTCTAAATGATTTGTCCTTACGCAACTCCCAACACGGATTACAAACAGTGGCATGTCTTGCATTCGAGGTGGGAACAAATTTCGTGCATTGGGTGGAATGTATAGTTTTCAGTTCACCTTTTCGATCGATTCTCCAGGTCGCTTCAGCTTGAAGAACACTTTGTAGCTGAGTGACTTGCTTAGTGGTGAGTTTGCTTTCTTCTCTAGTCTTAAATAGCTCTTCACAGACTACCCATCTTGGACGGCTACCATGGTATTCTGAGGGTGACCCAAGGATGCAGTCGATAATAAGGAAATCAGTATCCGGTCGAACCCACGTATCATCATTCATTCCGGCACATGGAACACCTTGGATTTGACTCTTTGGCTTTGGACAAGGGTTTGCTGTGGGAACCGCGTCTTCTGCTGGTCTCTTTTTGAAGAAGTCAGTTAGTGGTCTGGTATTTTTTGGTGCGTTTGTTATTGTGATACATTTGTCTGATGGAGGTCACATGTCTTCATCAGTGTTTGTCACATATTGTTTGTATCTTTCAAGTGTGATGATATAAAGAGAAACTCACCACTTTTCCAGTGATCATTCACAGGCTCCGTACGGCCTTGTGACATCTTGATTCCACGAGCACCACAGTGACAGTAAAATAGTTTATCTCCATTGATAGGCTCAAATTGACAACGGGTACATTGAGAAGTTGGTGTGTTGGCTGGGCAACGTGCCATGAGGGCTTGAATAGTGCTGGGGCCTTTGGTTTTAGGAAGCATTTTACACGCTTGGAATGATGAGTTTTTATGTAGATTAGATAGACTGTGGATTGATTTCTTGAAGCAATTTTAATAATTTGAGATTTGTGTGTTGAAGTTTTTTTCAAACCAGATTTTAATGCATTTTGCTGCATTCTACAGCATTTTGTGAGATTTTACTCTATTTTACTAGATTTTACTGAATTTCATGGGAATTCAATAGATTCTCGCTGGCATTTAGAAATCTGTAAGAGCATCTCCTATCGTTCGAGTAAATTTTCTGTACATACTGACTCGGTACGGTATCACTTGATACAGAACGGTGGAAATCCACTATCGTTGCATTATATCAAACAAAGTACAGTACATACTGTACAGAAACACCTCATTGCCACTATCGTATGTTCGGTAAAAAAAACTGCAAATCTCATGTTCTATCACGCAACAATCCATCCGAGCACAATCAGTTTGCAAAGACAATTGATCTGATGACAATTGATTTCAGAACAATCACTTTGAAAACAAGATGATTGACTTCACAACAATTGACTTGAAAACAATCGAGCTGAAAACAATCGAGCTGAAATCAATCGAGCTGAAAACAAACGATTGAAAAAAGTCAATCAAAAAACGATCGATTAGAAAAAGATCAATTAGAAAAAGATCAATTAGAGAACAGCCAAGTTATCTATATGACCATTTGAAAACCATTGATCACAGAAAACGGAGAATTTACAAGATGAAATTGGTGTTTGATGGTGATACAGGTGTAGTGGGATAGAGTGGGACTGATTTGAGGATGAGTTGTAGGATCGGCTCGGTAGAAGTCGAGCAGATTTGCAGATACCGACCTCTGCAGAATCGGTAGAGGTCCAGCAAATTTACTGGACCTCTACAGAATTTCTACAGATTCTGTGGGTACCGATGCATGATTTTGACACGATTGGGAGTTTTGACCCTCGGTACGGTAAAATTTACCGTACCGAAGCCGTTTACCGAGACGATAGGAGATGCTCTAACCCTTATTTAGCCTAAGACCCTATCACTTCCGGACAGCCTTCTGACCTTGTTGGACTTTCAAAAACCGCCCTTTGCGTGGACTATGATCCTGCCAAATTTTTTTTGGTGGGGACTATCATTTTTTGTCTCATGTGAATTTCCGTCCTATTTTGGGGAGTATCATTTTGCCTGTTTTGGCCCAAAATTCCGCCCTAAGTGGGGAGTAACATACCATAGAGCATGCCTGGGTCCTGTCACAAGGATGCTATATATATACAACTACAACTATAATATTAGAATCAGGTTCGGTTACTGCAGCCTGGCAGGGTGTGGCGGTGTTGGTCCTTGGAACGAGGAGCTTGAAGGAGTCCACTCGTGAGTCGTCAGCATGGGACTTTGATCAGTTTGCCTTAAAGGAACCAAGTCCCTCCCGGACAAGCGAGCAGTCAAGAAAGGCTACCCGCTCGTCCGAGAGGGACTTGGTTGAGTTGGCCTTAAAGGTCACTTTCAATCCTTGATTCGTGTGTTAAATTTCCTCACTTATCTTACGCGTATTCGGCTTCAGGTCGCATCTCTGGTTCAATACTTCGCGCTAAGTCAACAAGTTTAGGCTAGAAGGGTCATCCTTTCTTCACCACCAGAGTGACAAGAGGACCCAGTGTAAGATGGTATCGCTGCACGCCTTCGGATCTGCTTCAACCCCATCATGACTCATGAGGCTTAGCCTTGACCCACGTTCCAGAACTCCAGAAGTTCAGAACTTCTATGACGTTTTTTCTTCTCGACTAGATTCTAACCTGGATTCCTGGAAGCCCGGTAAGAATCAGCGTGTCCAAGTGACTTGCACATTTATCTTACAGCAAAAAAACTAGGGAAAGCTGCTAGATAAAACGTTCTCATATGTCGCCCGGCGCCGCTTGGGATTACATAGATAGCGCGATAATGGAATCTTTGTAAGGGGCTCTGTGGAGATCTACGAGCGGTGGTTTCGACACAGTGGGTTTCCACGACACTGCACTGCAGAGCCGGGTAGCAGACCGTTCGCCTCAAAGTGTACTCCCTTCTTTCTGGTTCAGCCCACAAATGGGGAATGACCCGGTGTTGATACGATCAGGAGCGAAATAAATTGTGGGTACACTACCCCCATCTCAATCAACGAGGAGAAATACGCCACTCATAAAAGATCTCTAAGATATATGTACGAGCAAGTGCGACGGGATCTAGGTACGACGGACGACCCGATCACTCCTGTCTTCGCCTATCAAGTCTAATCCGCCATATTTGTCCGATGCTTTCAGAGGGTGCTACCGAAGAAATCCCCCACTTGTCGCTTGTGGGGCATTCTTCTCCAAGGCGTCTGCATTTATAAGAAGATGAACTCATTTATGATCTCTGGATAAAGGCTGCAGACTAGCTTTGTCAACCGACCAGCTTCGGCTTTCCTCTTCACCGGGGTTTGATGCTCAGCCGCTGCGGCTAGAATGTTACGAAACCGAAGTTGACCTTCATTTTGGCACACGACGGCAGACCGAGGGTCCTAAAAAAGAAGACCGTCAACTTTGTTTCGCCACGTGCCTGCGCTGTCTTACGGTCTATGCTTGATGTTCCTCACTTTGTATTCTTTCTCGACATGTCTTGATGTGATCGAGAGCCATTGTGACGACAAACGCCGGCTAGGGAAGATTTATACTAGGGCAGGGCATGATACCTACACGGTTTTCAAATTTCTCAATCACGCACAGCGTTTGGCTTGGTATAGAGTTTTTTAAGAAGTCCAAAAAAAAAGATCCGGAGGGTGGGCTCAGACCAATTGAGAAAGGATACTATGTAGGCACGATTTATTCTCGGGGAATTGCGAAAAGCCATCGACCCATTCGATTGTAGACGACAGCACAGACAGATATCTCAAACCCACCCTTTCAGCTGAGATGGTCCATAATGACCCTTTTCTGACAAGAGCGACTCTATGACGCTTAATCTGTGAGTTGTATCAAGTGTGTAATTTGTCCAAGATGAGCTGGTGACCCACGAGAGGCGGTGAGCCTACTTGGTCATTCATCATCTTCCAAATCCATCGTCACTCCGATCGCTTTCAACACGAGTTTACTTTTATTTGCACTCTGAAACTATTCCTATGATATATAATTGATATCCGTATCAATGATCTTCTAGAGCCTCATCGTTCATCACATCAATCTACATTACATAGTATCCCCATCTTAACATCATTCGATTTGATTTGATTGATTTGATTTGATAATAATGTCGATTCTCAATCGGTTTCCAATCTCCTTCAAGCGCTATGTCTCCTCTGCAATAGCTCCACCAAATCGCCTTGCTCTCCAACATCGGGGACAGGGAATACACTCCACATTCTCGTTGTCTACTTCCTTGTCCACCAATCCTGCTGGGTTCACAAGCGCACACCCGCATTGCAATTATAGTTCTAGACCCACTACCGTACTTTCCGCCGCACAAACTGAACAATCATTTCATCCTACCTCTTCAACACCATCTGTACTTCAAGGTAAACTCTCTTCCTCCCGGATACCGCTTCAGAACACTGCCTTTAGTTTTACCCGGCACTCGGATCATCTCCGAGTTAAGTTTGGTGATGGGCAAATATCCAATTTGTTAGTACAATATTCAAGTCCTGTCTATTACGTACGGCAAATTGACTTACAAGCGTTAATCTTCAATAGTCACTACCTCTGGTTGCGCGACAATTGTCGTTGTTCAGAATGTTTTCATCCATACACCAAACAGCGACTATTAGACACATTCCAGGTCAGTTGTCGTTGACCAACTTCTGTATCTTTCCCTTGATTGACGAATGATGACATCACACATCAGATCCCATTGGATCTCTCTCCCAAGAACGTAGAAGCGCTGAAGGAGGAAAAGCTCCAGATTGAATGCAAGTAAAACTTTAATCTTCTTGTTTTCAAGCCTCATCTTCACCTTAGGGCTCATTTGAACCTTATACACTACAGGGTTAGACGGTCACATTACAGTCATCCCACTTTCCTTCTTGAAACAATATTCTTACGACCCACCCACAAAAGACGATCATAACACTGTCAATCAATCGGAACGAACCTTATGGGATCGATCCATAGAAACGTCCACACCTTCCGTTCAGTTTGAGTCTCTCTTTCTACAAGGCGAGGCCGGTAAGAGAGCGGTCTTGGAATGGCTTCGGAATATTGTAAGAATTTTTTACGTACCTCTACCTCCATATTTTCTAAGTTTACTCATGGTATATGCTATGAAAGGACCGATTCGGGTTTTGTCTTGTCGACGGCGTTCCACTAGAGCCCGTTATGACGGAGAAGCTATTGTGTCGTATGTCAGTCTTTCGAGACTCTTGTTCTAAATGTCCTATCCACACTAATCGGAGATTCTTTCAGTGCCTTTATACGTGAGACTCATTATGGAGCGTTTTGGGACGTGCGTTACACCTTGTCTTTCTCACCTTTGATGTTTTGTTGATCAGACTTCTCCATGAAATTCAGTTTACTGCGGATATGGAGCACGGGGACACCGCTTATACAAACCTGCCGCTCGGTGCTCATACCGACACGACTTATTTTTCAGACGTGAGATCTGCTGTGATCAATCAAATCACAGAACAACCAACTGACCAGTGACCCTGATATGTCTTTCAGCCAGCAGGCTTGCAATTGTTTCATCTCTTATCACCAGTCGATTCTCATACCGGAGGGATGTCTTTACTTGTCGACGGATTTGCCGTAGCCTCTCGCTTGAAAGAACTTCACCCATGGGCCTACGAAACCCTTTCTCAGGTTCAAGTCGACTCACACGCCTCAGGAGGAGAAGGTGTTGCCTTACGTCCACTCCTTCCAAGCCCCGTTCTTACACATCATCCGCGATCCGGAGAGCTAGTCATCATACGCTGGAACCCAGACGATCGACGTCCATTACAAACAAGAGATGGTGAAGAGCTCAAACGTTGGTATTGCGCAGTTCGTGAGTGGGAGAAAATCCTCAAAAGTTCTGAAATGGAGTTTTGGATGCAAATGAAGCAAGGTCAAGCCTTGAGTGAGATGATTTTTTAATGTTTTGAGGCATCTTGAGATATCATTCTACCAAATTAAAATCTAACACTTGTCTCGTTCTTTCCAGTTTTCGATAATCAACGTGTTTTACATGGTCGATCTGGCTTCACAGGTTCTAGACGCCTATGTGGTGGATATATTAACGGAGATGATTACCGATCTCGTTTACGATCTTTAGAAGATCGGTTTCGCAAAAAGACTGCTACCGCATCCTCAACCGATGTGTGGCGCGAAATCGAATGACTAAAAATCATTCCAACTTTCTTCCGTTTCTCAACAAACTCAAATTCAATAACCTCTCCAATCGTAATGTGTCTCCTTTTGCATCCAACTTAATCAATTTTGCATCAACATGCTGTTTATATAAAGATTGTTTTATCAAGTACTTCAAGTCTCTTTAATACGTAGCATCTGTATATTGTTTATCTCGGTGTTTGGATACAGAGAGGTGATGTGATATAAGGAGGAATTTGTTATGATAAACCAGTCTTATATTCATTTGTCTATGTGATCTTTACAACGATTCTGGCGACTCAAGATGCCCAAATCCTTCGTAAAACCTCATGTGCTTCTCAGCAGTGTAAAACTTAAGATTTACAAAACCCTCAGGCCAAGCATAAGTTTCTCAGCTGCGGCTTTCTCATTTCTTTCTTGACGCTTGAAGATTTGTATACATCATCTTGCTGCAGACAGAGTTATATTTCACCGTTCTTTTTCAAATTCTGCCCCTCTATTGGCAACAGATAATTAAACAAGTTTTGACCTGATCACGGGTTTCCACTGACTGGGATTTGCCAAGAGAAGTCTACTATGTATCTTACTGTTGGTACCAGTGCCATCATCTGCTGGGATCTTATAATAAGTGGAAATACGCAAAGCCTAATTCGCATGAAAGACTTGCTGAATGGGGACCACATTGCTATGTCTAACCCCTATATTGTTCATCAATTGCAGATCTGTCACGTATGAATTTGTCTCTTCACTCCAAATTTCAGTCTATGATGATCCTACTAGCCGTGGCTTGATTAGCAGCTTAATTGGCAAGATATATGTACTGGGCACCTTGATGTTTTTGTGCTTTATAAGAAAACTAACCTACTTCATGAAGAAGACTTTGTGTTTCTTTTGCTAACAAGCAAACACCTGTTGAAAACTCTTGATTGCTTTTCTGAGCATCATATTTCACCTATGATAAACATAGGGTTGGCATTTGGTAAGACATCATGAATGAGATAGTGGTTGAGACCAAAGAATTGACCTTGTATAGAATACAAAATAATTCATTGTTTCTCATACTTATCCAATCAAATTTAGGACAATTCTGTTTTCATGTTCAGTAACATTTCACACTGAATGAGTTTCCTTCATCAAACTCTCTGAGACCTTTCCACATCACATTCTCAATCACAATGGAACCCACAGATAACCTTTTTTTACCCCTCAGAGCTCATTTGATCAAAAACCACTTACTGGAAAATTTGACACACAGCCAAGTAGGAATATAGAATTACAGAACCTGATAGTTTGGCATTATTCCAGAGCATGAGTTTTGAGGAACTGTGGCTATTATTAAGTTTGACCAGACATCTTTTTTTGTCAATAAACCCATTGTGTCCAATGCTTCCAAGCCATATCAAATCAAACTTGCTCCAACAATTTACTCCTCTGAGATGATGGCCAGCGGTAATTCCACAAGATTTTATTTTTGCAATGAATTTACGCTATAAGCTCCACCATCAGAACGTTGTTTGCAGACTCCTTATAAAGCTCTTTTCTGCCTTGTAACACATCTTTTTGCACCCTTAAATACAGTGTAGCAAAGAGGCGGCAGGAAACACAAGATCACCCTGAAATCACTTTAGTGTGTAAGTTAGATGATCTTTTATTGATGTCAGTAAAAAAGATGTGGTGATGAACAAACAAGGAAGAAATCTCAGCATTCAATCACACACAAGAAATGTGGATTGACATTTCAATCGTGTGGTAAGTCGGATCGGATCGGATCGGATCGGGTGAAGCCGGGTGATACTGCGTCGGGAAGTTTGATGATCTGGATGTTCGATCACCACTCAAAACCATCCAAGCTCAAAAACCAAAGAACTCATTCCTATCAATCTCTTTACCATCATCTTGATCAATCATTGGTTATCTGTCATGATGATTAGACCAACTTCTCAACGCTTATCCCATCCTCTAATCAAGCGAGTCAAATCCGTGAATCTTGGAAGAGCACAAGTGGCGTTCATCCAAACTCAAGCTCATCTACCTCACTCTCAATCACAATCTTGTGAATCCAAAGTTCAAAGTCGTCAATCCCCTTCTATCGAATCTTCTCGATATGCCCTCACGCATAGATGGTCTTCTAATTCGTAAGTCATGACCTTTCTTAAGCATAAGTATCTTTTGGTTTGTCTTGACCATCAGAGCGAAAGCTGACTAGTATTATCTCTTACCGCGCATAGACTCCGACTATTCAGCTCATCAACCTCGCATCGGGGTACGTTGTTCTTTTGAATTCATTGGACCTTCATAAGCAAATGACTTACAATTTATATCACAATCCATGCTCCGATCTTTAGCTGAAACTGTAAAGGTTCCTCAGATGGCCGAATCGATATCAGAAGGTACTCTCAAGCAATGGTTGAAGAAAACCGGTGATCATGTTAAAGCGGACGAAGAAGTGGCCACGATCGAGACTGATAAGATCGACGTCAGTGTGAATGCTCCAAAATCGGGTACTATCACTGAGACTCTTGCGAATGAAGAAGATACTGTAACAGTTGGTCAAGATTTATTTAAATTAGAACCAGGAGAAGAACCAGAAGGAAGTAGCTCTTCTTCTAAATCCGATGTGCCATCAGGCGCCAAAGACGAAGGAGAAGCCAAAAAACTCGCAGAACAGACTGATAAGAAACCACAAGTTAAAGCTGATGCAGCTGAACCTGAACAAGCTTCTCAAAAACCTTCATCTCACGATCGTAAACGTTGGACGGATGTTGATGTAGAGAAAAAAGAAGCACAACCTTCACGTCCTGAACCTCAATTGACTGAAACCAAACAACCGGTCGGAAGAAAGGATTATGGTGAAAAATCTTCTGAAAGCAAATCTGAGGCTGAGAAAGCTAACCCCTTGGATCGAACTGAACGAAAGGTAATCAATCTATTCCAGCGTTTTTTTTACATATGATGATCTATTTTTCTAACGAAAGTGTGCGTTAATTTAAAGGTTAAAATGAACAGGATGAGAGTCAGAATTTCAGAGCGACTCAAACAATCCCAAAACACAGCAGCAGCACTCACAACTTTCAATGAAATCGATATGTCATCTTTGATGGAAATGCGAAAATTATACAAAGATGATATCTTAAAACAGAAAGGAGTGAAATTAGGTTTTATGTCAGCCTTTGCAAAAGCTTCGTGTCTTGCATTGAAAGAGATTCCAGGAGCGAATGCATCAATCGAAGGTCCTGGTGCAGGTGAACAGATTGTGTATCGAGATTATGTTGATTTAAGTGTAGCTGTGGCTACTCCCAAAGGTTTGGTTACACCTGTGGTTAGAAATGCTGAGAGTCTTAGTTTTGTTGAAATCGAAGAAGAGATCGCTCGTCTTGGGGTAAAGGCTAGAGATAACAAATTATCATTAGAAGATATGGCTGGTGGTACTTTTACAATCTCTAATGGAGGTGTTTTTGGCTCCTTATACGGCACGGTACGTCCTTTACATTAGAATGATGAGCTACTCACGCTTATGCTAACGTTTCTTCCAACTTTACCTTTTAGCCTATCATCAATCTTCCTCAATCAGCTGTCTTGGGAATGCACACCATCAAGGATACTCCAGTAGTCCGCAATGGTCAAATCGTCATTCGACCGATCATGATCGTCGCACTTACTTATGATGTCAGTAGCTCCTGTTTCTTCTAGAGAGCCTGGTTTAATCTCACGAGTTTCTTCTTTTTCTTTTTTAGCACCGTATCCTTGATGGTCGAGAAGCTGTGACGTTTTTAGTCAGAGTTAAACAATATATTGAAGAGTAAGCTCTATCCTTCTTGATTCTCGATATGAAATCGAATACTAACAAAGCTTTTGCTTGTGATATTATCATCTCTAGTCCTCGTAAGATGCTTTTAGCTTAAATGCTTATTTTTAACTTACAAACTCTTCACTCTTAAACTTCATTTTGGGCTACACCCAAAAAGGTCTCACCATACATCAAAAGGTTCTTTTATTCTTTGAGGTTGATCAAATGTATTGTTTTGTGATTTAAAGTTTTGTTTACAGTTGTGATGACTTTTTTCAGAAAATCATATTGTTTTTCTCTCGCTTGTTTCATATGATTTTTAATTTCATTTCATTCAAATTCAAATTCAAATCAATCCACCTCAAATCCTTGCATTCTTTTCAATCCGTGAGGAGAGAGTTTTGATGGGTTCAGTAGGTTATCACGCAGATAAACACTTTGAAGCTTTGACCTCGATGTCTAGAATATGGCAAGCCTCGAAAGGCGTCTGGCCTCCCTATCGGGGACACACGTCCTCCACAGAAGCGCCCAGCACAGCTCAATATCATAAAGGCTCAATTACACTTTAAGCAATGAGCGGGAAAATGGTTTAAAAATCACAATCACACCCTGCACAGAGACATCAACGTAATCAAGCCGACGAAAGTTCTTCAGATTTGTTTTCTTTCCACACACAAATACCTTGCATTTCTCCCTCCCTCATCACTCTTAATTTGATTTTAGTGTTTTCCTAAATTCCTGACTCGCATTTTTCACCTTGATTTCTTTACTTTGTCGCTTGGGTTTTCAGTTCTCACTCAACCCTAGATAAGTAGGAGGTAGATGTGAGTGTTGGGGTCAATAATTACTTCCTCCATGAAGCCTACTACAAAGTGGTCCCAATCACTTTGACCACAAGGAAAAGCCAAAGTTCGTGCTCCGATTAGAACTCTGTCCAGCTCCTTCTTACTGCAGTAAGGTGTAATATGGTTTTCGCAGATCTTATCAAATAAATGCATCTCATTGCTAAGCTTCACCTCATCACCTATACTGTGCTCGAATGAAGTGTCTTTTGGAAATTTTCATTAATGCAGGTGACAAATGAATGAATAAATGAAAGTGAATTAGGGGTTCGGAAATGGTACAAGGATACTAAACATATGGTGTTTCAATCCATCAAAATCTCATAAAGCTTCCGATATGTAGTCTCAAAACTCTAGCTAGGCTTTCTTTTTTCGAGATTTCTTGATGAATTCCACTTGAATTTGGGAGAAGTTGATTTGATGCGATCCTTCAATCGTAAAAGCCTTCTTTTGATTGAAGGTTCAATAAATGCAATGACTCTGATCTCATAACTCTTTCGTGTATCCGGTCCTTGGGAACCTTCCAACTTGAAGGCAGCATGCGGAACATTGATACCGTGACCATCGGGTGCCCTAGCGTCGTGCTGCATGAAGACAAAAACATCTTCGGCTTTTTGTTCACGTAGATAATACCATTTTTGAGCCTCGCTATACCTCCATGGCTGAAGTGCATTTTTGAGATTTGTTACTTTAGGTATCGATGTCAAAGCGTCTTCCTTTAAACGTGAATCCCATCTGCACAAACCAAGATGATTGTCTTGAACCGTATGAAGAGGCCTCCAAACATTGTAGATAACGACATCTTTGCCTTCCACAACATACTTTCCAAACTTAACTTCGGTTGGATTCTCTGACGCCAATAGTTCCTTTCGTGCTCTGGTTTTAAACCATTTGGCACCCTCTAGTGTCCAATCAGAGTGGATGATTGGAACTGATCTGACTGATCCTGATGGTTCGTAATACCGATAGCCACCTTGCAAGGCATACACTGTTGTTGCCCCTGTCCTAGATATCGAGAGAAATGAGCCACTTGGAGAAATATCTCTAGAGACAATTTCAAAGAAGACTTCCTTACAACTTTTTCACAAGTTCAACAGAATCAGCTTTTAAAGCAGCTTGGTTCTTATCAGATAATTCTTCCAAGTTTTCAATTCCTCCAACATGCCTTCCGGAAACATATGTAAATCCCCAAGTTTTCAAATCCGGTGCTTCATTAATAGTTCGAAGGTCTCGAAGAGGGACGTGGTGACGGGTTTTGTCAATTAGATACGCTTCGCCAATGTCGGACCCTACATAAGAGTGAACCTCTCCCACAATTGTTCCAGGACCTGAAGACCATCAAAGTAAATCGTGATCTGGGTCAGTATCGAGAACAGTGATCTGAAGCTCAACGTAGATAAACACGAACGTTTTAACTCTCGTTTTGAAAGACTGCTGCAGTTAACAGAACGATAAACGAGAATGAAAAAGACCAGTGTCTGAAACAAAGACATTCCGGTATTTTTATGTTGAGGAGTTTCTTATTTGATGAACAGAAACAGAGTAGAGAGAGATCCCAATTCGACACTGACTATTTAAAATCATCACTATCATGAAGCAAGATAACCCGCTGCTTCTGTCACAACAGACCTCGTGATGAGACTTGATCCTTGATCGGCATCTCTATTAGTAGAACTGCTAGGATGTGACAGTTGGGTATGTGTAGCTGATAGACTTGGGGCTAGAGGAGAAATGGTCTCAGGTCACTCGCAAATCCGTCTCTTCCTAGGGGTGAATCGTGCTGCGTATGATTGAGAGACCTCACAACCCATGAGACAGAGGTGTAGCCTTGCGCTTGTAGCAGCACAAGGATATTGATGCAGAAAAGAGATTTTAAGATTGGGTTTGTCCATTTCTAGTACACCATCGAAGTCTTGGAGACAGAAATCGAACAATCTGCTCCCTGATTTTTTGTTTCACTTGTTTCATACGATTTCTAATCTCATTCCAATTCAATCCAGTACACCTGGGATCCATACATTCTTCGCAATCCATCAGGCGAGAGTCTTGATAAGTTTTGTATGAATCAGTTGATATATTTCAAGATTTGATTGAGTCTTGAGTTTGGGGATGATGAGTTGAGTTTGAATGTGAATGAAGGAAAGTGAGGTATGGGTTTATAGGAGATCACATTCCACGGTGTTCAACTCGTGCTTGGGTTGAGGATCTCATTTTTTTCACATTTTCATAACCTGCCCCATTTCTCAAAACACATCATCCCAAAAAAATCTTTCACTCTGCTCTCATTTCAATGTTTGCTCCTCATAAATGGTAGTCTATGTTCGTAACTTCGATGCTCATAGCGCGTCGTTTCCTGAAGGTGGTATGCAACTCAGAGGGCTTTTGCACGTACAATGTGTGCTGAATCTACAGAGCTATGATAAGCAATTATCAATTCACGCAAAGAAACACTCTTTTACCTGGATGTGGAGGTCAGGGTAAAGTCCATGCTCAAAAGGCGGCTGGCCGCCCAGGGTCAGTAGCCGCTTTGTGATCACACGTTCCCATAAGGTAAACACGTACTGACTACATATGACTGCCCAGCCCCTCTCAATCATTATAAAGGCTCCATTATTGATCCTCCAAGCAATGTAGGGGAAATGTAATAGAAAAATCACAACCCTACCTTGCACATAAACATAAACATAAACAATCCTGGATAAATATTCAGGTAGCTGTTTGACTAAAGTTCTTCAAGTTTGCTTTAACACCTTCTTACACTTCTTTCTCCCTCATCACTGCTTATCTCATTCTACGCCTTTTCTAACTTGAATTTCCCCGCCTTGATTTCTTGAATTCACTACTTGTGTTTTCAGTCCTCACTGAATTCTAGATTAGGATGACGTAGGAATGAGTGTTATGGCCCATACTTGCTACATAAAGCCTACTACAAAGCGGTCCCAATCAAGGCGCAGCTTGACCACAAGGAAAAGCCAAAGTTGGTTCTGCAATCAGAACTCTACCCAGTCCATTCCTACTGCAGTACGATTTAATAAAGGTTTTACAGATATCATTGAATCGATCGCTCTCATTGCTAAGCTCCGCCTCGTCATTTATACTCAGGTTGAAAGGACATTGTTTGGAATATTGTGATTGTAATTGTATTGTACTTGAAGCCTAGGTAACAAATGAATCAATATTAGAGTTTCATGTGATGGTACAGGTTGAATAGACGTCCGTGGTTTCAAACGATATAAGACTCTATATTTTAGCTGAGATTTTTCTTTCGAGATTTCTTGATGAATTCCACTTGAATTTGTTAAAAACTGATTTGATACGTTCCCGTAGGTGTAAAAGCTTTCTTTTGAAGGATGGTTCAATAATTGCAATGACTCTGATCTCATAGCTCTTTCGTGTATCCGGTCCTTGGAAACCTTCAAAATTAAAGGCAGTATGCGGAACATTGATCCCGTGACCATCGGATGCCCTAGCGTCGTGTTGCATGAAGACAAAAACATCCTCCTTTTTCTGTTCACTTAAATAATACCATCTTTGAGCCTCGCTATACCTCCATGGCTGAAGTGCATTTTTAGAATTTGTTACCTGGGGGTTCGATGTCAGGGCATCTTCTTTCAAACCTGAATCCCATTTGCAAAAACCAAGATGGTTGTCTTGAACCGTATGAAGAGGCCTCCAAACATTGTAAATCACGACATCTTTACCTTGCGAGAGATGCTTTCCAAATGCCACTTCGCTTGGATCCATTGAACGCAATAGTTGATTTTGTGCTCTGAGTTTAAACCATTCGGCACCCTCTGGTGACATGTCAGAGTGGATATTTTGAACTGATTTGACTGATGCTAATGAAGAGTGATCTCGATAGCCACCTCCCAAGGCGTATACGGTTTTCGCACCTGTCCTAAAGTATCGAGATCAATGAGCCACTTTAAGGTGTATCCAGAAACAATTCTCTTGAGGATTTCCTTACAACTCTTTCACAAGTTCAACAGAATCAGCTTGTAAAGCAGCTTGATTCTTGTCAGATAATTCTTCCAAGTTTTCGATCCCTTTAACGCGCCTTCCGGTAACATAAGTAAATCCCCAAGTCTTCAAATTCGGTATTTTATTCATAGACCGAAGGTCTCGAAAAGGGACATGGTGGAGGGTTTTGTCAATAGCATACGCTTCGCCCATGTTGGACCCTACATAAGAGTGAACCTTTCCCATCACTAGTCCAGGACCTGATATATATCAACGGCAATCCAGATTGGGGTCAGTATTGAGAAGAATGATTTGAAGAGGTAGATTGGACACAAACGTTTCAACTCTCGTTTTGAAAGACTGCCACAGTTAACAGAACTATAGAGGAGCATGAAAAAGACCAGCGTATGAAACAAAGATGAAGACATTCAGGTATATTTTTTCTTGAGGAAATTCTTCTTTGATGAAAAGAAATACTAGCGGGATTATTTAAAATAATTGTATATAGGATGCTAATTTTCATCTAACCTCATGAAGCAACGCACCCGATACTTCTGTCAAAGACCTCGTAAGCTTGAGACTTGACCATTGATCGGCATTTCTATTTTAAGAGATGCTAAGATGCAACATCTAAGCAGGTGTAGCTGTTAGACTTGGGGCTAGAGGAGAAATGTCTCAGGTCGTTCGCCAAATTGTCTCTTCCTATATACAATTTCCTAGCGGTGAATTGTGCTAGGTAAAATGATCGGGAAACGCAACAAGACATTAGGAGATGGAAACGTAGCCGTGCGCTTGGAGAAGCGGTGTTCAAGATCGTAGGGTGGCCACTGGCTCTGGAGTTGATGATGATAAGTTGAGTTTGAATGTGATTTGATGGAAATGGAAAGTGAGGTATGGTTTAAGAGAGGTTAGTCGAACTTCAAATGGTGTCGAATCAGATCGATTCTCGAATGTGTCGAGAGTCGAGTCCAGTGATTTTCAGATTTAAAGGACATCATCCATCATCCATCATCCATCATCCATCACCAATCAAATGGATTCTATTGCAAACCTCTTCACTACTCACGATTGGCCATTCATCTCTCAATCAAGCAATCAAGTCATCTCAATCGATCTAAATGACCTCAAATCAACTTCTAGATCAAGAAATCAAATGCCTGGAAACCTTTTATTCTTCGATCGATTATTACTTTTAGCTTCAATCTCAAATCATAAAAAATTATATCCTCCTACCAATCTTAACGTCTTGAAATCTTTATTAGATTCAATCGATACTTGTCCATTTGATTCATTGAGTAAGTTTCAGTTTTACTTTATAAATCTTTATTTCAACTATTTTGATCTTTGACTCGATCTTTCGTTCTTGTTTGTTTAGAAAAGAATTGTTTAATTTATTATCTCCTAAAGGAGTATGGAGATAAAAGGGAAGACGCGTTCGCATCTGATAAACTGATACCGTCTCACTTTACAACTGGAATAGATGGTTTATGGGCACTCGATCATTCAATGTGGCAAGTAAGTTATTAATCTCTTTTAGTATCCTCAACATACCTTTGGTTGACCAATAAAACTCTACTTTTTGATCATAGCTGGCTATACATTGTTTTGCGACTCCCACTGTTTCACCCGATTTCGTTCCAGATATCATGTTATCTCTCGCTACCCTTCCTCCGATCAAGCAACGAGCCAAACATTTGCTTAGGTTTTATCAACTTGTCAATCCAACTCTCGATCTTCACACTGCTATACTCGTCTTACGCGCTATGAGCGCCTCAGGTCAAATTCGTACTGCTTGGGCTCTTCAACGTACCTTTCAACGTCCCGATCGAGATCAACTGATTCATACCATCCTTGAAGCTTGTTTCGGACTCAATGATCATGCTAAACCTTACTCGGCTTCATTACAAATCTTGTCTAGCTTTCCTTTTGACCCATTAGAAGACTCGATCTTGGAACAATTCTGTAGATCTTCACCGGTTATCTTGTCTCAAAACCATGCCATGGTGGCTATTCACTTTTATCTTAATAAACTCACCGGCGAGGCTAGATATATTGAAGCTATTCGATTTGAACAAGGATTGATGGGTTCAAACTCGATTCAAAATGATCCAGATGTTGATCGGGTGATCAAGGGAATCAAGGACATGTTACCTGAGGTCCAAAGGACTTTATTAGAACTCGAACTCGATGAACTCAACTCTTCAAAAGCACGAGCAAACGTTCCTACGACCGGGAAGAAACCTGGAACTTCTCAACATTATGACATTGGTAAACTGGCATGGGACTCTCCGATCAAGACTCCTGATCTACCTGCTCCAACTTCCTTAGCTGAGGCTAGACAACAACAAGAGATACGAAACAAGACTTCCCAAACGACTGAAGAATCACATTCTTTACCTTTGTCGGCTTCGCCTTACTTGCGGCGTGTTCTGCCCCCAAGTTCTACTCACGGTCGTAGTGAATCCCAAAAAACTCTTCTTACTGCACTTGCTTTACATCCAGTCCAGAACACGCCTTCCAAATTATCAAGTCAAGTGCTCACATCGGCGATGGTCATTGAAGATACCTCAGATCAAGCACAAACAACTACGGACACCATGATGACCTCCCCGTCGCAACCGGTTCCAAAAGATCCCGAAGAGCTTGACCCGCGCAGTACGCCTCGATTCAAGCACTTTGTCGGACCTGCTCGTTTACCTTCGACCAAGGCATCCACAGGCTCTACCCCTGCGATAGTACCGAGGTCTAAACATGACGCCAGTCCATTTCATAGAATGGTATCTAGCTCACAACCCTCTCAATCCAATAATCTTACTAGTAGTTCTTCTCAACCAGTTGTCCAAGAAAGATTCCCAACTCGAATCGCCTTTACACCTCGTCGTCCTGTTGTATCTCGAAAATCAGAATTAGATAGAGATCGAGAGTCTAGACGAACTGTGCCTGTTTCGCATCCTCATCGTCGTTCAGTAGCAGCTGCTCCTCAGATGGTTAATCCTTCCATACCCAATCTCGAAGAAAGTAGTGAAGATGAGGGATCTCCAGATCCTTTGGCTTTGACAACGAAATCGACTTCTAAGAACACTTCATCTACACGTATGGCACATCGTAGTGGACCGGTGAAAAAGAAAAGTAGAATAAACGATGTACCTGTATCAACAGATCAAATCAATAATAAGACTGTCCCTTCAAGACGTACTACAGCCATCAATCCTCCACAAAACTCAAGAATCGAGAATAATTCTAATGATCTTTTTCTATCTACTTCTAAACCGGAAAGATCACCATTTGTTTTACCTGGAAGTTTTGATGATCATGATATGCATGATGGAACGAATTTTGATGAACCGATCGTTTCTAATCAATCAAATGAACCAAAAGAATCACAACAATCAAAACCATCTCAACGAAAGATTAGTGAAACAAAAAATAGAACAGAGAATGAAGATGTGATTACATCATTGAAACCGATTGGAAGAACCCCTAGAAAGAAATTAGTAGGAAACCAATCGATTGGGAAACCTACGAGTAGTACTTCTCAAGCATATGAACCTATGACACCTAGAAGGTCTACTAGATTACATTCTCATACTCTTTCTCAAGGAGATAGAGAATGGGATAGTGATGGAGAAGAAGCTGATCAACTTGGGAATCATGAAAGGGTTGTTGTGACTACTACCAGTAAGAGTGGCAAAAAAGGAAAGTCTGGGACGGGGCAAAATAATGGAGATCGAACGAGTAGGAGAACTAAGAAGGTTTGAATGAAGTAATGAAAAGTTTTAGGATTGATTGGTTCTTAATTATGATCGACTTTCTTTTTTGATCAAGAACTCTTGAGAAAGGAAATATATGATTTTATTATCATTTACATTATTGATACCTTTATTGATTGAATTTTTGAGCTTATAAAATATATAGATCAATGGTATCAAGTGTCTGAAGAAAATTATAAGGTATCAGATGGATCTTGAAGTTTGGGACTTGGTTCTAGATTGGACTACCTTGCATTAATATGGTACTCACAATTCAAAGGTAGATTCTGAGTTTCTTTGATAGAATCTTACATTTTTTCTGGTTGCCCCAAAGTCCATAGCTTTGAGAAGCCTGTGACAAGTTTTGCTGTTTGTCTGCCTCCCTCAGACTTCTCTTTGGCTAAGGGATAAAGCCTGAGGTAGGCCTAGCTCATCTGCTCAGGCCATGTTGACCATTTAATCAGCTGATGAACTGGGAGAAAACAGTAGAAAAACTGGAAGATATCTGGAAATAAACCAGAAGAAAGCTTGGAGAAACCTCCAAACAGTGTCATTTTACTACTCACTGGCAGGCCAGGGCAGACCAGTGAGTACAACCACCTCATTCCAATCTCAATCCAATCTCAAAAAAATGTCAGTTCAATATCAATCCAATCTCAATGTTTGGCCTGGAGTAGTGGACAAACAACCTTTCAGAATGAACTGGAATAAAGTTTGGTTGCATGTCCACACATGAAGGTGTCAAAATGCCTGGAAGGTTTGAGTGATTATGCAACCCATGCATATCCCCCACTCAAACAGCATTGGAGTTCAAACTGATATTGAACTGACATTGAAGATTGAGGTGAATGGAACTCACTGGCCTGCCAGTGACTAGTAAAATGAGCCTGTGAAACTCATTATGCTCACCTCTATGTGAGCTTCTATTTTTTCCCCTATGTATTGTCATCACTTCAAACTTTTAGTGAAGAGACAGCCCAAGAGTTGCTGACCCCTCACACTACCACCAGCTATGTACATTTGAAATAGGGCCCAATTGTGAAACATTGCGTTAAAAATGAAGAGATAAGTAAATATAAAACAACTGCACAGCAATTGTACAATTCTATAATGGTGGGAAATTTCAGGTATTAATAGACATATGAACATCACAACAAACCTCATTACATGATTATCAGAGGGTGCAGTTGCTCCAGTCTAGTCTCAAGTCTCAACCATTTCCTAGCCCTGAGCCAGGCCCCAAGACCCAAATTGTTTGCCTACACATTCTAGTATATAATGCCAAATCAATTTTTGAGTGGTGTTTGTGAGGTTTTTTTACAAGAAATACACAAGTGAGATCCTCAATGTACTTGATATCAAAGTGCCCTAATGTCAGACTCCTAAGTCTTTGGACCCAAAGATGATGTTCAGTATAAAAAAATCTGGATCAGATATGAGTGAAAGCAAGACTCTATTATTAGACCAAACATGATGACTTACTACAATCCATTTATCAACAGGTTTTTGTTTGATAAGACTATCTTTTTGAAGATTGGCTACAATTGAGACTAGACTTGAGCAACTGTACCCTCTAATTATGTCGTGAGCCAATGAAACCACTCACCATCATTGCCAGTTGAATCAGGTATCATTTTCTGGATGCAAAAATATAAATACTTGCTCAAGTAATCTGAAGAGCCATGATTCTTCTTGTCAGGAATCTCTACAGAGACAACATAGAATTTCTAAAGAGTTTCTCTCTCTTGATCAAGATCTTGGTTCAATAGCATTTTTTGACTCCATATTAACAATCTTGTCCTCTTGAAAACAAAGTGTGTGTGATTTATTTCCTTTTCCTCTGCTTCCCAAAAATTTGCTAGGTTGGTAAGATTGGAGGACAAGGAATGTTTCCTGATCATGACATCTGTGATGATGGCCCATTTCCTGTGTATTTATCTCAATCTCATTTTTCATAATTGATAGGCTCTGTTGTCTAGGATTTAACTTCCAAAAAAGATTTCTTTAATTTTTGGTGTCTCAATTTCACCCTTCTCCTACTTCTCTAGTCCTTTATTTCATCTTTTCAATTAAAGCTAGAAATTTTTCTAATTAGAGAAAAGTCAGACTAACCAACTCTCACTATTGATTTTGTTTCCAGTCTTCAATATATAGAAAGTTATCTGTTGTGAAAGATCTTTAACCAATCACAAGCTCTTTGGAAAGAGCCTTGGAAAATTCACTTGAAACCATCCAGAAGTATCTTTTCAGGTAAGTTTTCAGCAACTTGAGAATCATCCATTGATGAGGCTCTATCTAATCTGAAGTAGTCCATTGAAAAACTGATTCATAAATCAATGTACACTTATAGGGATGTTTTACAAACCTCATGCTACTTTCATCATCATGATGATCATGCATCACATCACAATGGGATCTGACCCTCCAGTGGAGGATTGTCACTGTGGTTCTCCCCGAACATTTCTTGAATGTTACACAGACCAATGTGACAAACTTCTTAGGTGTAACTGTGATCCACCTCAATTTACTAAAACAACCACTTGTGAAGCAGATATCATCATGAAGGAGTATGTGTGCTCAGACCCACGGTGTTCTAGTTTATACAACCAGAGCAGTTGTCAATCAAACCATATAAGCACCTGTAGTATTGTTCATCATGGTTGAATATATATCCCTCAAGTGTCAAAGTTGAATTGATCTAATCTCTATAAAACAAAACCAATTTAGTGGTAAAATGCATTTTGAATTGATTGAATTACTTTTCATTTACCCTACATAAGTACTTTGGCTAGTGAAAAGTTTCTTGTAAGAGTTCACCAATGAATCTGAAAATAGTTTATGGAAATCTTTTGTTCATTTTTTCTGATACAAGATGAGACCAGTAAAGATTTTTTTCAAACTCAATATCTGGAATACAATCAATGAATTTAGCGGGTTCCTTATAAACATATATAAATCTGATGAATCTCAAGTCTAGATTAAGGCCGCGTTCACTTAAGCCGGATTTCAAGAAATTGCATTCTGCTTGAGCACTTTTCTACATGTAGAAAAGTGTTTTCTTTCAAAAATCTGAATTTTCACATTTTGTAAGAATTTATGAAAAAAAAGCAATAAAGTGTTTGCTTAAATGACCATTAAGCACACGATCATAGAAAAGTGAAGCGATCATATGATCACTTTTCTATGATCCCATTTGACACCTCAATCTTACTTTTGGCATCTCTCGCTTTATGAACTACTCACATCCAAACGCTTTTCATTTTTGAGTCAGAAAAATGAAAAGCAAACACAAATTACACATTTCACAAATAAAGAATACAATAAACATAAGACTCAAAATCCCTTCAAGAGAAGACCCTTGCATCAATAAGCTACTCAGAATAGAACAGTATCCTAATCCATAGTAACACCATAATTCAATCTAACATCAGAAAGGCAAGATTAGTAAAGATTGGCTTTGATTGACAAGATCGAGATGAAGATGATGACAGGAGAAAGGCCGAGTACTTGTCTATTTCATCAATGATAGTTAATACAAACACACCAGAAACTTGATCTTAAGAAGAAACCTTAGATAAGAACGTACTTACAGATTCTGTCAAACAGAAGTTGAGACACAATACCACACAACAATTTAGGTCGAACGATGAATAGATAAGGATGGGTGGAAGCAAAAGTTGTCTAGAGTTATTAGAAAACAGGTGATCAAATAAAAAAAGCAACCTCATCAGCATCATTCTGAAAAGAGATAGGAAAATACGACGTACTAGATGCATTTAAACCAACCCAAGCAACTCAGAAATGGTCCAGACAAGATTGCAGTGAGATCGAGTGCAGCGGTGTTGAAATTGATTGAGGTGTTGTTTGAGGCGAGTCTTGAGGAGCAAAAGTTGAAAAGTCAAGTTGAGTTGTTGGGCCAATTCATAATGAAATGAAAAGGGTAGTGATGGTCTTTGGGGGTGGCGGAAGTTGGCTTTGAGGAGTGTGTGGGATTCCGTACGGTGAACAGTGACTTGGTCAAGTTTTGATGAATTCCGTACGGTGAATGGTGACTTGTTCAAAACTGAAAAAAGGATAAAGAAAAGAAAAGCGATCACAGAATGTGATTTTGATCGATAAGAATGCACTTGTAGTGCATTCTTGAAAAGCGATGAAAAAAGTCTTTTTATAAGCATTCTGTGATTTCTAGAATGCTTGTAAATAAGAAATCAAATGCATTTCACAGAATGCGATTTCTCAACATTCAAGAATGCGAATTTTCACGAAAAAGCACTTAAGTGAACGCGGCCTAAGAAAACAAGTCCACAATGTTTTAAGCTTAACAAAGCCCCTCTTCCTTCCAATGTGGCCATGTTGGCTCTTGCAGAGGGACAAATTAGGGTTATAAGTACCCCAACTTTGGTCTGAGACCAGCATGATTTTCAAGTAATTTTACTTGACATCCTTTTTTGGGGGGGTTTCAAATTACATTGTGAAACCTCACAAAAAATCACTAGAGCTTCTTAATAAGCCTTGTGCCACTTTTATCACCACTTTACTTCAGCAAAGCAACCAATTTTGAGATCTTGAGTTAACTTTTAAATCTAGTTCATCCTCAGCATGTGTAGGCCTACATACATGCTGAACCCATCAAAATCACAAAACTTAATCAAGTTTGCAAACTCACTTGGTTGGAAGATGTATTGACAAAGAGGAATTGGTCAAAGAGGGTTTTTGGATCATCATAGTCAGGTACACAAACACAATGAAATCCATTCCTTACAGACCAAAATCATCAATAATAAGATAATTAGTCAACACTATTTTCTGTGTACCTCAAAAAGTATGAAGGAAGAAATTGGGTTTGTCTAGAACTTTCAATTTCCATTTTTTTATCATTATCAAAAACCAAATTTATCATATTGAAAAAATTATATCCATTCCTATATTATTTATCCAAAAGAGTTTCTATAGCATTTTTTTGTACTAAAAAAATCTTGAACCATCTACCCTACCCTGACACTTATGTA